CTTCCCACGCCTCCTATGTTGCTGCTCACGTTTCTCCCTATGACGCTGCTTAGGATCGAGCCAACACTCTTCCAATTTACTCCCTGTCAGGGGCTGCTCTGATATGCCTTCCTCCTGATTAATCTCAGGCTGTTCCTCTCAGTTGTCTGATGGAACCTGAGGCATTACCAGCGAGGAAGGTCCTGGGGAGAAAGGCATTGCCAGAGAGGAAGGTCCTAGGGAGGAAGGCATTCCCAGTTCCTCCTCCTCATCTTCCAAGTCCTCTTCCTCTGACAGCATAGGCTCGGGAATCGGGGCCACAACATAAACCTATGCATGATATAGTATAGATAAAAGAAAATCTTTCTTCATAGAAAGTATGTTTAGTATTTATAATTTGTTGTTTTATAATTTGGAAGAATTTTAAAAGGTGATGACATTAATTCATGGACAATGGAATTATTAATTATAATGAGTACATAGTACTTCCAGTAATGGAGGCAATAGGTTTCTAACACCAATTGCTGGAGCAAGTAAGTTGTTTAGAGTCTTCCTTGTGGGCCTTTGTTGAGGTAATTCCCCGTTAGGAGAATGAGTGCATACAGGGAGATGTAGTGAGAGTAGTGTTTAAATAATACACAAATAGCACACAGATACACTGTACAGTAAAAGTAGGTTTTTACTGCAGATAAACGTTTAAGCACGGTCCAAACAAGCAGTCCAAATCAATGCACAGTTAAAGCACTCAGTGTTCAATCCTGGGATAATTCCAATATCGAAGTCCAGTATCAAAACAGTTCAGTAACAGACTTACATCAAATCCAAAAATAACAGTCAATAAGGAAAAATGGAGGAATGGCAACTCTTTCCAACAGAAGGAAACAGAGATTCACTCAACCTCTCTTCTGAGACTTCCTGAGACTAAACAACCCAGGTTTCTGGTTCCATCTTATGGCCATTTGCAAAACTACACCCAATTACAGTTTTTGCATGCTCTTAAAGAGACAGTATTAAAATGTCTATCCTGGTTTATATATTTTCAACCCAAATAGCTGTTAGGTGACTTACATTCCTAACATTCTCCCCTTTTGGGTAGGACAATATATACAACCTTACATTCTAAGTCCATAATCCTCACAGCACGCCTTATGCTTTATAGAGCCTTCGGCCTTTGTAAAATTATCTGCTATATTGTTTTCTGACATACAGTATTCTAGCTTAATCATCTTACTTTGCACACATTGTCTCACATTTAAATATCTTAAATCTGCTTGTTTTGAACTTTGCTTTAAATCTTTCTGGAAGTAAAAGCCTACATGTAATGTACAGTGTATCTGTGTGCTGTGTGTGTATTATTCAAACACTACTCTCAAAATGTCTCCCTGTATGCGCTCATTCTCCTAATGGGGAATTAAACAATCTTCCATGGGCTACTGTGGGAAACATAGAACTAAGATATCATAGGGCTGGAAGGGACTCTGGAGTTCTTCATACCATCTCAAACTAATGGTTGTCCAATATTCTCTTGAATGAATAATATGTATATATATATATATATTTTCTGAGGTTCTCGCGGGTATTTGTATGTGGATCTTTGGTTGTTCGGGTTTTCTCCCGCGTAAGATTCGAAGTATCTAGGCAACGTTTCGATGAAGTCTCATTCATCATCTTCAGGCTTCTGTCTTCAGCTCTGTGCTTCTCTGAGTGAAGACAGAAGCCTGAAGATGATGAATGAGACTTCATCGAAACGTTGCCTAGATACTTCGAATCTTACGCGGGAGAAAACCCGAACAACCAAAGATCCATATACATACATACATACATACATACATATATATTCTTAAGTTTTCACAGGTACTTACATGTATGGTATTCAGCTTTGTTCGGGTATTTTCCCACATCCTTGTAGTTGTGCTTTTAAAGTTGTAGCAACGTTTCAGCAGAATCTCATCGGCCATCATCAGGCTTCTGTATTGAATACAGAATACAGGAATACAATACAGAAGCCTGATGATGGCAAATAAGATTCTGCCGAAACGTTGCTACAACTTTAAAAGCACAACTATAATGACGTGGGAAAATACCCGAACAAAGCTGAATAACATACATACAAACATACATACATACATACATACATACATACATAAACATTTTTTTTCGTAGATTTTTCATGGGTACAGGTATGTAGGTCTAGGTGTGTTTGGGTCTTTTCCCATGTAAGATTAAGAGTATCTTGGCAATATTCCGGCGTGGTCCCACTCGCCATCCTCAGGCTGGTGCTTTCGGCTTTGTGCTAGTGCAAGGAGATAGAAGCTGAAAGCATCAGCCTGAGGATGGCAAGTGGGAGCTCGCTGAAACGTTGCCAAGATACTCTTAATCTTACACAGGAAAAGACCCGAACACACCTAGACCTACATACATACATACATGCATGTTTTCTGAGGTTTTTGCGGGTATTTGTATGTGGATCTTTGGTTATTTGGGTTTTCTCCCACATTAAATTGGAAGTATCTTGGCGACCTTTTGATGAAGTCTCATTCATCATCTTCAGGCTTGTGTCTTCGGCTTTGTGCTTCTCAGAGTAATGTGAGCTTGCAGCTGCTTCTTCCTTTTAACTGCTAGTGGGGGTGTGACTTGATTGGGTGGGGGCTTGGCTGTGTTCTGATTGGGTGGGGG